CAAGTTTGACTTTGCCTCAGAAATAGTCATTGCTTCGTAAACTTCTGTGTGTTATATTTATTTATTTTTAAAGTACCGATTTAGAGACCATTTAGGAACCAGTACCATTTTGAAAGTATCGATTTAGCACCGGTATAGCATTAAACCCTTTCAATACCCAACCCTACTCTGGATCTTGTTCATGAATGAAGGAAGAATGCAGCGGGAGATCGAGGGGCGGATTGGTGCCGTGTCTGCAGTGATGCGGCCCAATACCAATCTGTCGTGGTGAACCGAGAGCTGAGCCAGAAGGCAAAGCTCTTGATTTATCGGACGATCTACGTTCCTACCTCATCTATGGTCACGAGCTTTGGATAATAACTGAAATAACAAGATCGCGAATACAAGCGGCCAAAATGAGTTTCCTCCCCAGGGTGTCTGGGCTCTCCCTTAGAGTTCGGGTTAGAAGCTCGGTCATCCTGGAGGGACTCGGAGTAAAGCCGCTGCTCCTCCACGTCGAGAGGAGCCAGTTGAGGTGGTTCATCTGGTTAGGATGCCTCCTAGAAGCCTCCCTGGTGAGGTGTTCCGGGCACGTCCCACTGGGAGGAGACCCAGAGGAAAACCCAGGACACGCTGGAGGGTCTATGTTTCTCAGCTGGCCTGGGAACACCTTGGGATTCCTCCAGAGAAGCTGGCCAAGTGGCTGGGGAGAGGGAAGTCTGGGTCTCTCTGCTTAGGCGGCTGCCCCGCAACCYGATCCCAGATAACCAGAAGAAAATGGATGGATGGATATCAGAAGTCTACCTCATACCTGCCAACATTTGAGGGACACCTGCTCGTGTTAACAAGGAGCTGTGGAGTGACACAGTCCAGGGACATGCCCTCTGGAAATGTTTTTTAATCTACTCAAAACTCTATATTTTTCAGCCATTTGAGGAGAATTTTACTAAATTCTAAGATTTAATGAAACACAAAGGGCTTGATTTACCAAGACAGCAGACAACTAGTACTAAATACCTGTGCAAATTTAAAAAAAGTCTGTGGTAAAAGTGGGCTTGCTGCGTGCGATTTACTAAGTCCTAAGACTGCGTGCACAAAGAATAACAGGTGCAAAGCTAGTGCGGCCTGCCCAACTGAAATGAGGATTTAGCGTGAGTTACTGATGGAGGCAAACCAGACACAATAAAATTTAGTGTTGCAAAGAGTATTTTTTTAACAGAACAGAGGTTGGAAAACTTTTTTTCTCTTAATTTTATGATAGAATTTTTTGTCGTGGCGATAGAGAACTTCAAACACAAATTTCAAACCCCAAAAAACTTTCAAGGACTTTCGAGGACGAGAAAATTTTATGGCTSTTTTCAAAATCTTACCAGGACCTTGAACTGATTTTTTTTTTCAAATTCACAACATTTTAAAGATTTAATGACCCATGGGAACCATGCATATATGTTTTACAGATCCAGACTTTGATTAGGCTTTTAAAAGAAGGATAATTGCATTCTGAAAAGTAAATGTGGATTTAGTGWATTTACTTTCAAATGTAAACCTGCTGTATAACCAGGCCAGGTGTGCTGGTCTACTTCCAAGTTTTTTATGTGGCATACACATGTAGATGATTAAACAAAGGGTGAATCAAAAGACTCAGAATACCCTTTTATTTCAGAAACAAAGGGAAAATGTAATATCTGAATGTCTCTGAAAGTAATGTATCTTATAGACTATTTCCGGAGCATGGCCACTGTTATGGCAATATTTATTTAACAAAGACAGAAATACGTGGTCCAAGAATGAAGGTACTCCGTGGGATGATCAGCTGAGTTTTATTGCAACAACATCTCAAAAGCTGCTATATTACATCAAAGTCAGATTTTTTTCCAAAAGGAAAATGGTCATGTAGCATATCAAAGACCATAATTGTCTCAAAAACGAATTGCTGCAATCAGATGTGCAATGTCTCTTGTGGCTCAAAAGTTATCAACACAAAAATTTCAAATATTTGTTTAGAGATGGAATGGACGAAAGCTCTGTGTTCAGCACCRAGGACAGCACACTGAACACATCAAATAGCTGTGCATCACAGGCAACGTTGTCTTTTGTTGTTGCAACTTTCTGTGTTGTTACTTTTGAACCACAAGATATATTGTAAATCTGATTGCATTAATTAATTTCTGAGACAATTCTGGCCTTTCTTGATATGCTAAATAAAATAACCACATTCCCACTGGAAAAACTTGCTCCTGATCCAATATGGTGGYTTTCAAGATGGCAGTCATATTCTGGACATAGCCTAAAAGATAGGTCCCCTCATCTATTGCTTATTGGTGTGTTTAGATATTTCCTTTTCCCTTTTGTTTCTGAAACAAAGGGGTTTCCTGAGTCTTTTGATTCACTCTGTGGGTACATATTGCACGTACATCTGGATGTAGATTTAAAAATGTTGACTGTTATCCAAATTTTAAATATACACTGAAAAGCATTTGAAATTATTTATTTTTTACATATATATTTAGATAATAGCTGGCTGACACAATGCACAGAAACAAGGTAGATGTTTTATGAGTACAAGAGACTAAGCGGAAGGGCAGCAAATCTTGCAGTACTGGAGCAGGTTTTAAGTTGTTCTACCATTGTGTGAATAAGAAGAGAAATGGAGTAAGGTTGGTCATGAAGGAGTCAGATACGGTGATGTATTTGACGGTAGAAATAGAAGGTCTGCTGTTAAATGTTGATGAGTATGCTTCCCAGGTTGGATATGAGATAGAAAAGAAAGAGAAAATTCTGGAAAAATCTAGATGATAGACAATATTCCCAGGGAAAAGACAGTGTTGATCGGAGTAGACCTGAATGCACATGTTGGTGAAGGAAACAGAGATGAGGAAATGATGGGCAGGTTTGGTGTCAAGAAAAAGAACAAAGAAGGACAGATTGTGGTGGATTTTGCCAGGAAGATGGAAATGGTTGTAGTCAACACTTATTTCCAAAAGACGAGGGAACAAAGGGTGACATATAGGTGAGGATGGAGGAGTATGCAGGTAGACTATAGTCTGGGATGGGGAGAGCGTTGCCAGACAGCACAACCTCTCTTCAACAAGGAAGATGATCATCTTTTGGTTCATAGTGAGATTTTCATCTCTCCAGTCACATGGCAGGCCTATAGTTTTTTCTAAATTGTGCTTTTAGTCTGCAGGACATTTATTTAACCCATTATATTAAAATAGTCAATACCGAAGGATGTTTTTAGATTGGGTTACATAGAGAAAAATACAGTCCTTTACTCGAATCAGGACGGAAATGTCATTACATATCTATCACTGTGGGTAAAACTCCTCCTTTTCCGAGTATATCTAAACTGTACTTAACAGCACTTACTTTTATCTGACTTTTTCACTCACTGAGTGTTTGAGTACTCGAAAAAAAGCACTAAACATGTTACTGTTTAGCTACAAGTCCGAGTGAATTCTAGCTGTCTGTGCTTTCTTGCACTTATATTTTTAACACTAGTTTTAAAACTGCCTTGTTAATAAAGTTTATTGAGTTAGGGGTCGACCGATACATCGGCCGGCCGATATTTTTTGGCCGATATTTGCGTTTTTTCCTTGTATCRGTATCGGCCGATACGCTGTCCGTTCGGCCGATCCATTGTTTGGGTCACGCGAGCGCATGTGTCCGCCCCTTCCCTCGGGGAGAGCGTAGCAGCAAATGTTGTGAGACAGAGTGCTAACAACAACRAGGGTGAGTTATGAACTATAAATGTGTTTTAACTGTCTAATTTAACTGTTTCTACCCTCTGCGTYGGAATATGTGTCGGAATATGAGGGAAGAAAGAACAGCTGTGTTTAAGTTTCTTTTCCAGACAGGAGCGCTGCGACATGTTTTACTTTCACTTTCGCACCGCACTGTAATCAGTGTGTCTGCGTTGTTTTTCTTTTTAAAAATGCTGGAGCTGCTCACATGAGGCATAGAAAAACACCTCTATTGTTCTCTCTGCTGGATTAAAATAAAAAAGCTTTCGGTCTTTTCTCGCTGAACATTTTAGCGAGCCCAGCCGTCCACCATCATGTGAACCAGACACTGCTCACATCACGTTTACTGTGACCGCAGTCGTGATGCTAGTTCTCTTCGGTGTACATTTCAAACTGTGATCTAAAGTTAACGTCAGCTGGTTTAAATGCATTTTTTGCCTGGTGTTAAAAACGGGAGCAGCAGACTGAGGCAGAGATGCTGTGAGCGYTGTGTGTGTGAAGTCCTCACAAAGATAGCAAGATGTATGTGTGTCTCTTCTTTTTCTCTGTGTTGCTCTGACAGTTTTATTTAGGCTTGTTGCTGTTTTTGTTTCAAAAATGCTGGGAGTTAAAACATAGTCATTTTATTTTATGTAAAAAATATATTAATCTGATTAATATACAAATAAAAACAGAATATTTAGCACTAGATAAAATAAATAATGAATTTATTTATTTTTWATTTTTTTAAAGAAGAAATCCTGTATGGCAGCACTTTATACAGCCTGCATCAGACAAGGCTTAGCTAATAAATGTTTTTTTGTTTGTTTTGTTTTAAATTAAGACTTGTGTAACATTTGTTATCATTCTTATTTTTATCATGTTAATGGAGGAAGAAAAAGTAGTATCGGCCAAATAATATCGGCTGCACGTATCGGCGTATCGGTTAGACWGATGTTTAAAAAATCGGTATCGGCCTTCAAAAACCTGTRTCGGTCGATCTCTATATTGAGTGCCTGTTAAAGGTTTTGTAATAGACCWATGTGAAGTCAGCAGTATACAAAAGTCTTGCACCCTTACGTTTGGACAAATAGTGACGCTCAAACACATCAATGGATCTAATTAGKGTATGAAACTGTACTTATGTGACGCGTAGAAAAAAGATGAGAATGTACAAAATAAAACCAAGTCCTCATCAAATCAAGAAATATACATATTAAAGACACCCAGTTGTACTTCATTCTATTCAAACAGCACAAGACTTTCACACTTCTCCAATCACGTGGAGGAGAGTCTCACCTGTGGAGTTGTTACTCTAAAAGATGTCGCTGTGGTTGGGGTCGCAGGTCGCGGAGAGATGTTGTTCTGGGCCTGAGCTTGAGCCTGAGCTTGAACTTGAGCCAAAGCCTGCTGAGAAACCAGGACAATCTGGCCCAGCTCGGTACGTACCAACACCATCCCTGAAGAGCAACAAGCAGCAATAATCAGGGGACAAACCACATCTTTCTTTTTTTAAAAATATTTCCAAACCGGCAATTGCATTTTTATAGATTTTGGATGAGAGTGGTGGGTATTTTACCAAGTTGTCCGGTTATACAGTGAAGATGGCTCAGATGAACATRAACCGTCCCTCAGTTGGGCTGCTACAGGCCCAAGATGCTGAGGACCTCCTCGAATTAACAGAACCTCCTCTATTCTCTCCTTTCTTGTTAGTGTTAGAGAATCATTTTTGCATGTTTACATCTTTGCCTCACTTTCTCTCTTGTAGTCTCCTGAAGTTGACATGAAAATTTCCAACAAAATTCAGCAGCAGACTGATTTATACACCAAAGTAGTTCAAAAACAAAAAACGTATAAATTAGTCAGGTTTGACCCCCACTTGGTTATTATAGATGAGTTTGTGAATTGGTATTGCATGAAATGAAACTCTAGAAATATGCAGAAAATGTAAACATTAAGCATGAAGGGGTCATGCAAAGTGGGTTTACTTTTTCCACTAGATAAACTTAAAATGAAGAAATAAATAAAAACCTAATTTTTCTCAAGGTCTTAAATGTTGTCTTATATGATTGTGTTTGTACTTATTTTACATTAATGTAGGCATTTTAAAGTAGTTTTAAAAAAGTATTTAAAATGTTTGTAACATTTCAAGAAATGCTCTATAAATGTGTCGGTTTAAATGCACAGGTGACCATTCAAGTTGCACAAACTTGACCTAAGTTTTTATTATGAGCTAAGACTACATTTATTATATTACCACAGCTGTGCAGTTGTCCAAGTCAGGTCACGATGAAATTAAATAAACAGAAAGGTTAGCTGCATATTCTGGTCCTGTTCTGATACTGAGACTGAATCATTATTTCAGAGGTTGGATGACTCAGAACAGGGCAGTACAGAAACCCCTCTGTCCACTGTTACTACCAGCTGCTTTTTGCTGTTTAGCAAAATAGGAGTTACCATAGGTTATTAAAAAAAAGGCCAATTCAGCTAGGAAAATACTACTCCTGAACAATACGTTTTGTTTTAAAAATAAACCAATCATTTATTTTACAAATCAAAACAGGTGCACTATTGTGAAAATAGTAAAACAATTTTGAAATTGTAAAACAGGACATTTACCTGTGTAAAAAAAATTGTCCATCTCTGTTAAAGGTACCTAATGTATGAAACCAGTGCAGCTCAGAGGTCTGCTGGAGAGCGATGTCACCTCATGAAAACTTTTCTGGTTGATTTCTCAGCTTTGGCTCTTTTCTGTGGAGTTTGAGTGATAACCCTAAACCTGTGTGGTGTGTTATACTGGTTACCCCAGCATCCTCTTATAGGCCCAAAACATATATTTGGTTAATTAGTCATTTGAAAGTAATTTAGGTGTGAGTGTGTAGGGGTCTTAGTCCTGTGACAGATTAGTGGCTACCCCTGACTGTAGGAATTATGGGTTCCAGATTAACAGCTCTAAACGGGATAAATAATGTATGGAAAATAAATGAATGAATGATTGAACATTCTGTGTAGGGTTGGGCATAATCGTATCAAGTGCAATTAATCGTCAGAAAAACATTAATCGATTATTTTTTGGCACTTGACAATTAATACGATTAATGCCACCAGGCTGACTGACCGCTCGGTGCTCCTCTCTGCTTCAAATATGACAAACGTTAAAAATAAAGTTCTGTAATTTATTTATCHATCAACACAATTTAAAATATGATGYATACCCTGAAATATRTAATTTTCACACAATTTGGGACAATTTTTTACAAACAGCAAATCTTTCCCACTAAATTGGTCATGTGACCAGGACATAAGGGGGTCTAGGGGATTAATCGTCAAATTAATCGTTATCAGCTAAATACCACAATTAATCGTGATTAATTTTTTTGCCAATATTGCCCAACCCTAATTCTGTGGTTGAAATGTTCCATACTTAATGTGCCTTCAGCTGTGTGACAGTGTCCACATTATGTTATTTTAAAGAAATGACTAATTTCTTTGTTTATTTTTTTTTAAGACCAACATCAAATCCATTATCTAAATAGTTCAGCTGTAGTTCTACATTTTATTTATCAAACTTCTGTGAAAGCTTTGATTAAACATTGTGTAAATTTAATAGAGATGCACGATATATTAGCATTCATATCGGTATCGGCCAATATTGGTCATTTTAGAATATATTGGTCCGATATGTAAAACTGGGCCGATATTAACGTCCGATATTGATTTCCCACTATTTAACTTTGTGTTTCTGTTTTGGGAGGGGAGATGGTTGGTTGAGCAGCACCTGTTTGATTATGATAGTGATATTGATGCTACGTAGCCAGGAAYAACTGCGGAGCCATGTCAGAGKTCTGKTCRTTTATTTACRGTRTCAAAGAAAATACTCAAGTGTGTTTGTGCGTAGATGTATAATATAATTTGTGTGTTTGTGTAATATCTGTAAATATCGGTTATCGGCCATAACAGCAATAATCACATYGGATATCGATRTTGGCTGAAATTTTCATATCGGTGCATCCCTAAAATTTAAAATGCTCTGCTGCCCCTTCTGAGACACAGCATTGGTGGAGGCCCTTTGCGTTGAAATTAAAAGCTCTTACAGATGAGCGGTATGCTATTAAACACTGCAACATAAGGTGCAGAGCTTCTACCATACAGAACATGGGAGAAGCCAGGGGTCAACCATACAAGCAAACTGATTCAGGGGTCTTGTATKATGTTATTATTACACAGGTGTTCAACACCACCGTCTCACTGTTCTCCTGCAAACCTTACCCTGTGGGATGGTAAAGCCGGGGGGCAGCTGATAGGTAGCCTGCTGCTGGGAAGGTCTGACAATCAGCTGGGGGGCTACGATCCTTTGAGGAGTTGCAAGTCCAGGACGGGGTTGAGACTGTGCAGGGGCAACCACGGCGGGTGATGGAGASGGGGCTGTGGCCCTGACCATGCAGATGGCAGTAGTTGTAGTGGTGGCAGATGTAGTTTGAACAGTCACGCATGTAGTAGGGGTTGCCATCCCTGTTCCACACACAGCTGTGGTGGTGGTGGTGGTGGTAGAGCTCAGAGGCGGGCTCGCTGTTGTGGTGGTTGTTGGTGCTGTAGTGGTTGGAGCTGGTGTGACAGCAGAGGAAGTCGAGGATACAGTGTTTATCACTGAGCTAACACTACTAGACTGGCTTGATGTTACAATTGTGGACTGACAGTCGTGTACATTGGAAGCCCCAGTATCAGTGGCTGGTTTGCTTTGCTCCTCCGGGGAAGCTGAAGAGGTGGCAGGTTCTAACCGGTCGCCCTGCTGTACCACCAGGGCCGAGACGCTGGTCCCGTTGCCGTTCTGGGCTATACTGGCTACAATATGACTCGGAAGTCTGCGCAAAGCAATGGTGGGAGTTCCCCTGTCTAGAGCAATGGCTGACTGACCTACAGGCAGGTTTGCATTGGAAAGGGTGAAAGTTGAGGTGTTGATGGGGGATGTGGGCGGTCGGGTGGAGTTTGGTGGAGTTGGACCCACGGACACGCTGAGGTTTTCGGCCGCCGCTGAGCCGCTGTTCCTCCTCGTCGTCACAGCGGCGCCGTTCAAACTCTTGATCCGCGCCGACGCGCTCCTCCTCCTCGGTGTGGCTATGCGTTTCCTCGGCGTGCTCGGTTCCRCCGAGGGCTCCCCGGCGCCCGGGCTAGCCTTGGGACTCCGTCTGGACGCGGTGCTGATGCTGTCCTGCGGTGATGCCGAAGTTGACCCGCCAGATGCGGCCAGTGTTGTGATGGATGCTCCATGTGATTGAGGACCGCCGCTAGTGGCGTTCACGCAGGCAGCCGTAGTGGTGGGAGGCTCGCCAAAAGCAGAGGCAGAGCCCAGCGTGGGTGAAGTGACAGTTTTGTCCAGGTTAGCGTCTTTAGAGTTTATTTCTTGGCGCATTTCGGGTTTATTACGCCGTCCTTGTTGTAGTTGTTGTTCTAGTGTTGTGCTCACTGGAGCTGGTGGTAGCGTTTTTCCTAAGTGATGGTTAGCAGGGGCCACAGAGCCAGCGCCTCCGTTTTCGTCCGTTTTACCTGCCGAGCTGCTTTGTCCAGTAAGCTGAGACTCCAGTGAGCCTACGAGGTCGCTGACAGCCTTTTCGTCCACCTCTGAAAAGAGCATATCTTCCAGGGGGTCGGAGGCGCCCGCCATCTCTGATCACACAGAGCTGTCTTGTATTTTATTACAACGCGCATGCGTGTTACTAGGCATTGTGGGAATGAAGCTGACGTCATGAAATGAGAGGAGTGTTGCCTTCACGGAACCCCGCCAGGTGTGGAAATAAAAGTGAAATGATCTAATAACATTTTAGTTACAAGCTAATTATATTTAACACTTGAAATGGTGTAAGTACTGTATAGTTGTGTAACCATCTCAAACAAAAAACTGTATTTGTTGTGTTTTCTCCTTGATAAGTATTTTTCAAGCGTTCAAAACTGAATAAAAGCAAAGCAGTATATCTACAAAGTATTTATTTTATACACATGAGTAACTAATCCTTTTTCAACGTCGTTTTGTCAATTTCACAGAGTCAGCATATGTTTAAATTTCGGTTACTCCCCATTAATTAGTGCAGCTTATTATTATTATTATTATTATTATTAGTAGTAGTAGTAGTAGTAGTAGTAGTAGT